GATAGCTAGGCAGCCTGATCGACAGAAGATCGGTTTCTAGCTTGGGGCCTTTCATTTAGCATCATCGCTTCGCTCACCTCCACCTCCATTCTTCTCGGTAGATCCGTCTCAAAGATATTTCAAGAATCAGTTAAGAATTTATCTATGCCCTTCTCTTCGGCATACACCCACAAATGGGAGCAATCAAAATGTGCCATTACAGCACGATTTAACCGGAACAATTCATGCCTAAAGCAGAGGCTTTTTGTTAATGCACCTTTTTCAATAGTAATGCTTTGCTTGGTCTCTTTGCGATGTCTTCTCTTTTTACGTGGCAGGTTGCAAACTATGCCAAAATGGACAACTCGGTATGCATATTAATAACCATAATAAATGGGTTTTACATTTATGGAAGTTCTAGCAACTGTCCTCGCAAAAGTGTGGGCTAATGAGTCAACAGACAAAAGGTCAGCTGAAGCTACAAGAGGTTGAGGAGGGAAGCAAAAAACTCAGGTCGTCTTGCTGAGAGTTGCAAGGCCGGACGATAAGGGAGCACTGAAAAAAATGGTTTAAAGGGACAGGAGACGAGTAAGGATCGAAAAAGGAGATGGTGGCGCTTTAGGCGAATATAGCAAAGTGCATACACGAGAGATTATATGCGGCCTTTGGCCGTCTGGGAGATTGGCCCAAAACATGAATGACTGGTCCGCCCCTGCTTCGAACCGTCCCCCTCTGATGAGGTTCATTGGGTTTATGGTAATCGGGTGGGTCGGCTGGCGGGGCTGAATGTTTGGGTGCGGAGGGCAAGGGAAGTGCAGAAAGGGAGGTAGCTTCACATGCTCCTTTCGCGTTTATTGAGTCTCTAAAACCAGTTTTGCACAGACTGTCAGGGAAGAGGTAGCCAAAGGTCATCTGTTCCCCAAGGATGCTGTCTCAGACGGAGCAGTTTGTGGGGCTTTATGTCCTCCTCTTCAAAGTTATGATCTGACCAGATGAAATCGTAAGGCGGAGGTCGGGCCTGGAGGGGCTCAGATGACAGACAAGGAAGGGGATCACCTGCGCAGACTGATGGGTTCGAGTGAACGAAAAGGGGCAAGCAACCAGTAAAACAGAACGTGCCTTGTTTCAGAACCCTCTCCGCCCCTCTGCAAAACCTAGTACACACCATCTCTATCGTTTCCCCCCAAACCCTTTGTCATTTTGGCCTTTGCGATGGCAAAATTGCATGCTCGCTTGGACAAACCATTAATCCTGTTAACAAAACCTATTTCCGGACGCCTTTGTAGGAGCTCTTTCTTCTGCCAGTGATGTTTACAACATTTCCAATCGTTTTAAACAGAATGTCTTCGATAGCTGGAATAAAATCACATTTCAAGTTGACTTGGAAGTGAATACAATGAGTAAGGAGTTGAGTCAGACAAAAATATGTGGAGATCACTTCCCTTTCGAGCAACAGTGTGTGATGAGGTGATTCGAACTTCGAGCCCATTAGAAGATGACTGCCGATTCCTCTCAGTCAACTGTTGTTGAACCTAACTCTAACACTGTCCTTGGGACAATCTCCTTCGCCTGTGGTTCAAACATGCTGAGCTTTATTTTTCGTTGTAACATCTGGCTTTCTAGACTATCAGCAGATCATACATATGAGACGGATTCATATCATATGTGTGCTGAGTTTAGTTTTTCATCTCCCTTGACAGAGCATGGCATCTTTCTTACGACAAACGCAAACTAACGAATCAATAAAACTCATTGGCTCATCTCTGATTGTTGTAT